TTGCTTTTGAATAGACGCAGGCCTTCCTTACTTCCGAGAGTATCTGCGCAGTGAAACTAAACCAACACAATCTGGCGGCCACAGTGCTGTTCTAGATCCCATAACGGCGCCCCCATAATGTACTTACCAGTGTCTGAAGTAGCCGTCCATCGAATTGGCATTCCACCTCAAATATCCATAACAAACTTATGCCTGAAATTTTTGAAGTGTTCAATCCGAAATCACTTCAATTTTTCACACATCACTCCCTTTTTTGACAAAATCAGTGAGGTCCAAAAGCGATAAAACATTAATAGACGAAAGTTACTTGTGATACACCTCACGCCTACATGAATAGACCTAAAAAGTCTGAAACCAAGTCCCCTGAATAAATGGTTTTTTGATTATTTTATACCAAGAAAAAATATTGCAGGATTTAAATCATTGGTTCTTAAAGGAATTACATAAAGCAAGATCCCCGACTCCGAAGAGCGCAGTGAAGTCTCCTCGGCAGGGGGTTAATTCGCGCCCAAATCAGAGTCCTTACTAAACTTCATCAGTTACTTAATGGCCTCAGGTAATCATTCCACCGAATGACAAGATGCCATACACATTTATGCTGCTTTCAAGGGAACCATGGTTACGAAAATATGGATTTTTTCCAACGTTTGAAGTGCTCCTTATCTCAACAGATCCAGATAACTGAATTAGGTTAAAAAAATGATACGGTCGAACGATTCCGCCCTAACTTCTCAGGACGACCCGTCACGTTGGATAAAATCACCGTCCCACATCTTACTCAGAATGTCAAGCTGGAACTTTCCACAGCAGAACAGAGACAACGCCAAAAATGTTTGTAAAATTCTTTGGTGATGCAGAACTCTCTTAAATAAGTGTACTAGTTCGCTTTCGAATTGATTAAGAGCATTTCCAAATCAGCTTTGCGATCTTTTGCAATGAATTTTCGATTGATACATGTGTTATTGATGGAAGCAATGGAATAGAACATTAGATCTTTGAGCAAGTGTAACATTTGCACGCACCCATCTCGAGATTTTCTTTAAGCATTCTGGTAGAATCAAATCTATAACCCTAACCGTGACTATGGATAACCTCGAAAGGATAAACACATTGACAAACCTATCTGCCAGAATCTCGATAACAAAAACATCAGTCCAATTTATGAAAACCAAGGGAAAACAGCCAACAAATGCTGCCCAAATCACAACCCATGTTTTACTGGTCGATGAGGGGGATATAGCGGGAGTGGGGAGACAACGAATGCCATTTCAAAATGCCAAACCCTAACTCATTGCAACGATAATGGGAAGAGGCTGACTACCCTCATTGCACATCAAATGAACAGTAATCAACAAGTAAAAAAATTTATTGAAAAAAATAGCAGAAATAAATGGGGCAACATGCACAGGTTATTTGCATACCACATTCATGCAAAACGCCACGGCGTTGCTCGCCTCCTTGAGAAGGAGGAGGATTTCTCGAAGCCGTGGAATGGAACACACAACACGAAGACGGACAGCTGAGCCGAAGTTTTGTTTGGATTTGTCAAGAGACACAAAGTACACACATAGGACGAGGTCTGCTCCGTCTAAGTAAATTTGCAGAATGGTATCCGGTGAAAGGGGAGGGTAGAAGCAAACCTTCGTAGAAGAGATAAACACTGTTACGGATGCATAATGCACGGATTCGACTCTTTAAATTGACATTCCCATTCAGCCGCTTACACCAACTTAAACCACAACTAAAAACCCAAGCAAAAAGCACAGCATTGCTTTCCACCCAAACCATACGCTAAAGTGAGTAACGAAGTGGTAATTTGAACAGGAAGAGCCCCGCGCAACATCTGCTACGCTTTGCAGCTGAAAATCTAACGTAAATATTTCTGTAGACGACACCAAAGGTAGAAAATAGATGCCGTTGAGGTTAAACTTACACGAGTATCCGATTTTTCGAACCCAGAGAATACATTGGAAGGTGGGATGGTTAGTGATTTGAGCGCACTTTGTAGGCACGTCCACAAGTCGAGTAGAGGAGCATTGTGACAGCAGGAGAGGGCTTGACAGACATAATTCAAACAATCCTGCATTTGCTGTAACTTAAACGGTGTCCCGTAACCCTCGCGGATGTAAGCTGTAAACGGTGGTGCTGAGGGCCGCGTGACCTTGACGCTGGCCTCGAGTATGGTGTCACCAGAGAGACCCAGTTCGGCAGTCAACTGGGCGCATTCGGGAAAGGACTTGGGGGTGAGAGTCTCAACCTCAGTCTTGAGCAAGAGGTCTCTGCACTGTATGAGGCACTCCTCAACCTCTTTGCGCGCCCTTGAAATCTAATCAACCAAGACTTTATAACTATTTGCACGTGCACCGCAAATTTGGCTGGGTAAGAAGAAACACCGTTAACTAGGTACCACTTATGAGATCACGTGTCAGAGAAGAGTGCACTTCGAGTGTACGGGATTCGAACTTGGAAGAAATCGTTTGCCACACGCCGAGATCGAGTGCTAATCCCTTGAATGAATCTTTATCACACAACGCAAAAAGAAGCACATCACCCTTGACTTGAACACTTTGCTTTAAAAATACTGATAATTTTGAACATTGTCAGTGGAATTGAGTAATGCTACTCAATTAAGCTAATAGGTAAATATCAGTGGTATCGTGCCTTGTATGCCGAACAATACGCGGCCGCAGTCTCTCCGCATTGCAACGCACGCGTTGGGCAGTGGACCCGGATCAGTGTGCATGACAACCCCAACTAGCAGATGTCAGGATAGAAAATGGGTTTTAGAGAGGTTTGGGCAGTGGTGGATGTTTTGTTAGTTAGTTAATTCAGGAAAGGAATCACAAGTGGGAGTCCTGGCAACAATCAATCAGATCTTGTTGAGAGAGGATGAGGAACAGATTCATACGACAGGTGTATTTTTTCCTTAGCGCATTCAACAATTGCAGTGAAAGCAGTACAATAACTTGGCTAAAACCGTTGATAAGCGCCGGGGTAGAGTAAACGCAGACTCAAGGGAATAATGTACAAAAGAGGGCACAATTAGGGAGGCAAGGGCGTAAAAATGATCTGTTGGTGTACAGAGGAAATCTTGAAACAGAGGTTTACTGTTCTTCGGTGTCCACATATTTCGACAAATCAAATGTGAGGACGCGGCTGACGAGGCAGTTGTTCTCCTAAAAATAAAAAATACCGACGACACTGAATGTTGTGTCGATAATATTCGACAATAGCAAAGTAAACAAAGACTCACAATTATTTTGTAAAAGCTACTATGGAGCAATTAACGAGAATGATGTTTTAAGCGAAATAATACACAGAAGCAGTTATCGGCGTAATTTCAACTTACAGAAAAACGAGCCATAACAGTCGGAAATTGGATAAAAATAGGCATTCACAAACACATTTGGTTAAGGAAGAAGAGCCAAATAGTGTGGTTGGACTTATGAAGCCTTCGATCTCCCGAATATTAAAAGCAAAAATTCGCTAAAAAGAGCCTCATCTAGTTTTCGGAAAGGAAAGCCTTGGCACGAAATTACTAACTTGGCTTAGAGTATATTTTTTTGTATACCGAAATATATTTACAGAAGAAAGTTAGAACCAAGAAAATGATTTGAACGAGAGCTACTGGCTAAAGTGATTAAAATGGCATTTGACGCTGAAGAAGTGAAAAACAATAAAATACCTGTTCAAAAGTTTCGAAATTAAATACCATCAAAATTTACGAAGGAAACATTTGGAACTAGACAAGATAACCCGTTCTCTTCTGGTTTCCAAGACTACAAGTTCAAGCACCTTGGGCCAAATAAGGCAACAGAGGAAGCGATGTGGAGGACGACGTAAAAACGTGTCGTGAGATGTCTTAGGTGACAAAAAAAATGGACGAACAAAATCGACTAGTAGTAAAGACAGACGAAAACAATAAATTTTGGAAATGAACCTTGGGGTCATGAATTCTAATGTGATACATGGCCATGGCGCTATAACAAAAAAGTTACCGTATCAGGATAGATGCCAATAAGAGAGTCTGCTCGCGAATAGAATTCTTCCTTCAGTGAAATGACGATAACTTGCGCGCGGGTGCGCGAATATTCACGGATGAAGGAGGCCACCTTGCCGATATTGGTATTGTCAAGTGCGGCGTCAATCTCGTCAAGGACAAAGAAAGGCGATGGGTTGTACTGGTGCATGGCGAAGGAGAGAGCAAGCGCAGCGATTGTCTTCTCGCCACCAGAGAGGGAGTCCATCTGCTGGAAACGTTTTCCCGGCGCTACGCACTGAAACTGCAACTCTTCCAAGTAGGGCTCTTCGGCATTTGTGGGCAGAAGGCTAGCCTAGATGAGGAGAAAGCGGAATAAAAGGCGAGAGAAGCACGTTTTGCACTGGACTAATTTTATTGGCTAAGGCGATTACAGCTAGAAAAAGCCGTAATTATGGCATCTGGTGTAATTTAGAGTGACTACATAGTCAAAAAGGCGTACCTGAGCACCAGGGTTGCGCGAGAGTGCTTTGTAGAGGGGATCGATGTTGTCCGCGATGGAAAGGAAGCACTTCATAAAGGCATTGCATCGGAGGCGACGAATCCTCTCAAACTGAGCCCGAGCTTTCCTCGCTTTGCGTCGTGTTTCCTCAAACTCCGCCTCCGTCGAGCGAAGACGCTGCTCCACATTGCCCAGTTTTGCCCCTGCCTTTAAGTTAGGCGCTTGGAATCGCGATAATTCGTTTTGCATTCGGTCTATTTCAGCTTGCATCTCATCCGCTCTAAAAAATGGTGGATTAATTATGCAAAAGTAAAGACTAATTGCAGAATTTATTTAGTAAACGGTTCATTCAACTAACAAGGACATTAATGTTGCCTGAAGAGGCAAGTACAGGGCAACAATGGAAGGATGACAAATTACATGAAATCTATGGACGCATGGATGTAAGTGGTTGATAAAAAAAGGTCGACACGTGATTAATTGTGAATGGTATCACATTCATTTTCATATGAGTTCAACTTGCTTAAAGAGGCAGATCGCAAATCCTAGTGTTAGACCTGCATTACTAATGACCAAAAACTATCCGTGAAACCGCGTCGAGTGACAACGGGAGACTGAAAGCAGAGCAAATCGCAGTTCTGGCAGTACTATATGCGGTCAAAGGTCCATTACAAATCGACATCAAGTTGAGAGAAAACAAATGGAGCACAGGTAGGGGAGCAAAAGTTCAATCGGAGCCCCCAACATTACATGGATAAATTTGAACTCTTTAACAAAAAGCATCCTTTTAAGATAAAAAAAAACCTGCTTAGACCAGTAGGAGGCGACCGCATCTTAGAAAAAGTATTCTTTGACTTGAAGTGGGGCTGGTTCTAAATATGACACATTTTACCCAATGACATCAGTGAAACTGAAGTGAAGTGAAAGCGATTTGGAAGCGATACACACGAAATTCGACCTAGGCTAATTGCGAAGTGATTCTTAGAATGGCTAACAATGGTAGGGATTTAGGACGATTTGCGATGGCATAAAGGCAACTTCTAATAGAATACCACCACCATCTAGAAGACTCACTTCCGATTGACTTCCTTTTCGTCAGCAATCATGCGGAGAGGCTTTTCGAGTTGCTTGTAGTCAAGCAGCAGTCGGGCCTCCATGGCATAGACGCGCATCATTTCTTCGGAGTTGAGATCGGCACCCTCGCTCTCTGCCGACAACTGACTTTCCAGTTCTGGCATTGAACTTGCGCCGGGCTTCAACGGCAACTGAAGATCCTCCATCTACAGTAAAAAGCCAAGAAACGGTGCAATTTGGTGCAAATACCGAGAATTCTTAGGAACAAAACGAATACAATCTTCAAAAGACATAAGATTGTCGAGTGAAGTGAGAGCCCACTCAGTCGTAAAACAAGGTTCAAGGTCAATCAGTGGGTTAACGCTACGAACACAATCCTACCTTCGCCGACTGGAGCAACGAGTGTCGTTCGGAGCGTTTGGCTTCGAGCCGTGCTTCAATCTGGCTCAGCTCCTTCTGGAGTTTCTGAATTTCGCGCTTCCGCGTGACCAGGCGTCGGCTGAGTTCAGCCAATTCGGAGTCCAGATGCTCACCTTTCCGCTGATACTCGCCCAATTGGGATTCGAGCACACTTTTGCGAATTTCGTCCACCTCCATCTCGTCTTTCAGACGTTTCTCTTGCTTCTTACAGCGATCCATCTCCAAACGCTCACTCTGTACTGTTTCCTCCCAACGGTGCACCGCAGCTAAAATATGGAAGAGCTTTCAACATTAACTTCTATTAGTAAGCATTAGTTTGCACGCCGATTTTGAAGGTGGTAGTTCCCATGTCACCATGAAATTAGTGAAGGAGTCTTTGGAAGAAATAAAGGGACCCGAGCACCTACGAAAATAGATGAACGGTTTTGTGAGATAGAAGTATTACAATCTATTCAAGTACCAGGCCTGGAGCAGTATTAAGAGATCGAGTAAGCATGGTTAATGAAAACAGACTAGAGGGAATTTGATTTAAATCCGATACCTTGAGTGTCACGGGATTTCTCATATTCCAATTGATTGTTGATACGCTGAAGTTGGTTAGTAAACTCCATGCGTTTCCTATCCCGTTCACGAGCAATGCGTAGCTCACGGTCTTCGTATTCTCTGAAAAATACAACCTAAATAGCAGGTGTCTGGAAATGCATACTTATTGGAAATTTTGCCTTGGTGATTGGTACACCGGTAATTACAGCGGTTGAAGTTATTTTGCAGCACAACACCAGATAGAAATAGCTGCTGTAAATTGAAAGCGGCGTAACATAAAAAAAATGGAAAATGTGTCAAACATAGGCACTGCTATACCGAATGTTCTCTACTCCGATACTGACACAAAAGTCATGCAGCACCGTATCCTCAACATTATCCATTTTTGCTTTTTCGGCATTGATGGAGATTTGAAGTTCCTGCATTTTCGTTTGGCACATACTCAGGCGCTCCTTGAACGGAAAAAAGGAATGCGTACAAAGTGGGGGTAAAATGAGAGTGAAAAAGGAAACGGTTGAACCTACGTTCACTTCTTCTAATTTGGCCCTCAAGTTGTTCATCTCCTCTTCATTTCCACTGAGAAGTCTTTCTTCCTAAAATCGGATAATACCACATTTGTATTTCCTAGCGTCTTCATTCAAACTTAACCGCAAACATCTCACAGTTCACTGCGCCTTAACTGAAATAGAATAATCGATCAACAGGACTCTTACCAGACACCGAATCAATTTAAACACCAAATATTCATGAGTAATACCAGCATCGAATTTGTAAGTCAAAACGAAATTCCCGCATACAAAAATGGAGGTCGGCTTGAGATTATACGAGGATAAAATGAGCAGGACCAACCAAAATTCAATGGGAGCTTCTTGCGTAACTATCATTTGAGTAATTGCCCAACAACAAACTGAACGAAGTTTTATATAACCAAGTAATAGTAATCGCGATATGAAAATTGGAATACACGTAACCGAAGTGGCGTAACTAAGCGTTCTTGTAAATTTATCAATATGAAATTGTGTGCATTTATAAGAGCGTATTTCGTGATAAAGCCAAGACAACGAGGTTAGGTGAGTTCAGTTGGAAGAAAAACTAACCGTGCTCTCTTTATCCTTCTGCGTGTACTTTAGCCTTTTTTCAAGACCATTGATCTGTGATTGAAGAGTCCGGAGTTCAGCCTCCTTCCGCTTTCGTTTCAACTGTTCCTTTAACTCGGCGTGAAGGGCGTCGCGTCGAGCCATTAACGAGCTTATTTGCTTTTCGTCCCATCGTTTAGCTCTGGCCTTAAGGTCACTAAACAAAGAGACAGTAGCGTTGTGCTGTGATGTTTGGAGAGAACTGAGGGTGATGGTAGAATGGCCATCGGGGGACACACACACAGCGTTGACTTCATTAAACTACTAAAATTAGTCAATTATACTTCTCGTTTTGACTCCAGCAGTGAAATTTATGGACACGAGTAGACTAAACAAATAAGCTAACCTTGCACCTCCCGAGATGATTCCAGATCGCTGAAAGAGCGTTCCATCAAGGGAAACAGTCTGGCAAAAATAAAAGATGTGCGCCTGTAATACAGAGGTCAATCCCAAGTTTATACGGGATAGAAGACTAGCGTGAGACACGACTTTTCACATTTAAAATTGTAAATGTTAACATGCACCTTGAATTCGTTAATCCAAAGGAACAACTATGTAAGATGTAGCTATTGCAAAAGCAAGAGAAACTTCAAGGGCGAATGGATTGTTAAATCCTATGTTACTAAATAGAACCACACCGAAGAACAATAATTCAATGGAATCCTCACTTTCTTCCGGTCACCCATGTTATAGGCAACATAACGTGCGTGTTCGACGGTGTCGCAGACAAGAGCATTGCCACAAGCGAATTGGAGGGCCTTTTTTGCTATGACAGGGTCACAGTTAATGACATCAATCACCAAGTGCACGTTTGGTGGATCACTGATTTCACTGTTGGGACAAAGACCACGAAAAAGTGAGGAACCAGTTTATATGAGCAAAATTAGACGGTCGAAGAAGATAATGAGAATGGGCAAAATACAAAAGCTATACAGTGTGCGCAATCTTCAACTAATGACGACTTCATAGAGGACGAAAAGCACACTAAAAAGACGTTAATTTAATTACAAGAAAGAAATCATATCTGAGGGCACTTTGTTCAATAGCATACTGCAGCGAATCATGTTGATTCACGTCCATCGACTCGATCACCGCAGTCTCCGATACACCGCCCTAATCAACCATGCGGACCCCCCTATAAATGTGCCTCCCCCGCTACTCATTCACTCATCGTTCTATTCAGTCACGTGTACTTCTACTACCGAATAGACGGCTGTGTCAAAGTCATCTTCGGTCTTATCAGTCCTCCCGGGTACCTGCGTAGGGCAGTTTGGTCGATGCAATGCGGCGGCCCCGGTGTGGTTCGATACTACATACCTAGGCCCTCACCAATGTCATCTAGCTATCTCAATGTGAAAGCCTCAATGAAGCCATACATACCGCAACTTCTCATCCACCGGTTTAACATCGAGAAAGTCGAGGGGTAAGAAGGTTTCTGGCTCGATTCGTTGATCTTTCATGTACTGAATGCAATCTTTTGCGGTCTTCTCGCTGTCACAGACGATACTGTCCATGTATTTACCAAGGACTTTGGTGATGGCAATTTGGTAACGCTTATGCGATGGTTCACACATCTCCATGAGACGGCCATGCTGAAGGAAAAAAGCTACCATCATGAAGCAAAAAAGCAAGTGTATACAAAGACCTAGAAAAAATCTTATGACGTTGTTCATGTCGACAATATGCTGTAAATCCAAAAAAACGGAAAGCTACATAAATGAATACAGAAGGCTACATTGCATTCCGTTATCATCGAACTCAAGCCGAAACAACACGATAATGGAGGCACCGTAATCAAAAATTGGCCAGCGAAAGGACAACAACCAAGACCAGGCAAGTTTACACAGGACACGAATCTCACGATGGAACAGACATTAATCAGACACTAAAGACCAAAAAATGCAGACGTACCACACCCGGGAAGAGCCGTTTGAGATTCTCTATTAGTTCCTGTTTCTTAACGGCTCGAGAGGACTCGTGACGTTCAACTTTGGCTTCGCCCAACTGACAAATCACTGTTTCCAATTCCGAGTTAATTTCCTCAATTCTTCTTGTTGCGTTCTCAACTTCCTCGCCAATGATCTTCTCCGTTTCTGATAGCTCAGCAATAGAACGGTGACTAGACCTGATAAAAAGGTAGCACTAAATAAGACCACAATTCAAATTAGCAGACCTACTCAATAAACTCTATCAGCCGCTGAAGACGCTTTTGATTGTCATTGAGTTCAGTTTGCTTCAGGCGAAGAGAATTTTCGATTTCTTCTTTGCGTCTTTCAAGGCCATCGGAGAGATCTTTTTGTTCGTCATACTCGCGTCTAAGGGCATCGAGCTGGGTTGAAAGATTCGACGTATGTTGCGCCACCTTCTGTTTTAGCCTATGGTACTCTGCTAACTACGTACAATAAAGTATGAGCAAAAGTCGTATGATCAAGCCCAAAAATAACAAGGCGAGTTTACCTGTGAATCCTCCAATTCAAGTGAACGTCCTTGTTCCTGACTTTTTTTATTTTGTTGGTGTTCGTACTCTTCCTTTAGGGCTAAAATGCGCGAATACTCAGCTTCGAGCTGATCCATCTCTTGGCGGTGACTACTGTGCTGCTGGCGTGCATTTTCCAACGACTTCCTTCATTTCATCAGTTATAAATTAAATTTCCAAGTAATACTTACTTCGATTCCTTGTGCTTATCACTCACATGACGCAATAGTTGGGACACTTTAATGTATTCTGGTTTTTTCTTGGAAACCTTTTGCTCCTAGAGTATCGAAAAGGACAAGGCTAAATGACAGGGACAGGAAAGTGAAAACACGAACATGCTTCACGCTCAAAAATTCGAAAATTCCAAGATAATAACGGTTAAAATTGATGGATTGGGAAAATACTAGACATCCATAGCAAACAAAAGAAAATTCGGAATGTAACTACTCACACATTTCTTAATTTCCTGTTCTAATGCAGTTTGATCTCGATGAAGTTTCCCCAGCTCTCGTCGTTTCTCACGAATCTCTTCTTCTATTGTTTGTCGGTGTGCATTTTCCTGTTCAATTATTTCCTCGCGTTGTTGTAACTCTTCGTGCACCCGCTTTAGGTCGACATCGTTGTAGTACAACCGGAAAAGTTGCAATTCGGTTCTTTTAGACAGCTAAATTTTTAGTAAAGGTCTATTTAGAACATAATGATGGACAAAAAAAGAATAACACGAAATCTCACCCATTTATGATGAAGCCGTTTGTACTTTTCCGCTTCGTCAATCTCTATGCGGGCCTCTTTACGCTCTGCGACAATATTTTTCTTTTTGTTTAGGTTGAATGTGGCCTCTTCTTCCAATTTCTGCATCTCAGCCTTTGATCTGTCGTACTCTTCTTTATATTCTGCAGATCTACTAATTTCTTCAAACATCTGACAACGTTCGCGGGCATTTTTCATCGCAATGCTTTCCACAGCCCCTTGGAAGATTAGAAAATTCTTCACTTTCATAAAAATGTGTATTTTCTCGAGCGCTTCAGCATATTCCTCGACTTTCACGGGCTAGGAAAATAGAAGGGTGAAACACGAACATACGACCCCGTCAATGCGGTATTCGGATGTGTTAACGCTGATATACCGACTGAAACGCTTCTCGACCCCATCTGGCATTTGATAGACAGCTGTAACGCTTGCAGTCTTTGAAACAGGCTTCCCCACGACCGACCCATGGATAAGATCCTGAGAAAATAAGTACAAATCAACACTTACACTAAGTCTTGTTACTCGCAGGTGACGAGTACGCTCACCAAGTACGAAGCTAATAGCGTCCATAAGATTGGATTTTCCTGCATGTAAGAATTTTAACTGTAACCTACCAGATCCATTTGGGCCTATAACTGCTGTAAATGTACTAAAAGGTCCTATGACCTGTTTCCCTTTATACGATTTGTAATTCTCAAGTTCAATGTACTTAAGGTGTCCACAGTTCTCCACCATTTTATAGCTTTCAGTGTTTGCGAAAGGCGCCTTCTGAAACGAGGTAAAGCAACGAGGTAAAACAAATATTCAGATTTGCACAAAGCGCAATTTTTTTAGTAATATCTTCATTTTATAATTTAAAAAATTTAAACATTTTGGTGCAAGGTCGAGGATCAAAAGTGGCCTGACCTTTTTTCCTTTAAATAGTCTAACCAATCACCGTTTTGGTGCAATCCTACACTGGTCTTGATCAGGTATTCAGCACTTCGAACTTGCTGTCATGCGTGTGGCTTCTCGCGTAGTTGTTCTTTTTCTTATTGGCGTCCTCTTTTATTACTTATTTGGTGTGCTTCAAGGATTTCGGAGTGGGATATTCAATGATAATTTCAGTCAATTTGTTTTAAGTTCAAGCTCTGGCATTCCCCTGTGCTGCGGTTTTCTTGCAGGTAATACATACCGTAAAATCTTACAACTTCTTAGTTGTGTGTGGTCTTGCGTCGCCCCTTCTGTATCCCAACCTTAGAGTCCCGAATGCATATGAAGCAGAATGGACATCAATTATGCGTTGTGTTCTGTTTTTCGTGGGCATAAGCCACGCAACTGCCAAACTGAACTTCGTATCAAACTCACAACTTCTCTTCACTAGTTTGTCTTTTGCAATTGGAATATGGTGGTTATTTGATCGATCTGCAGCTGGGGCCGCTATTGGAGTCTTAATATCGCTCTTGGGAACTACGAGTTGCTTTCTCCTCGGAGACCAAATCATCATTAAGTAAGTTCTAGATTTATTCTGACCTTGATCTCTCCAGTTCTGTTGATCCGCTACTTTCTTTGTGGTTCCCGTGCATCTTTTTTTCGGGTGGAATCACCGCTTCACTTGTTGGCCGACAATTGGCAAAATCTGATGTACTCGACTCCTTTAAAATTAAGGCGGAGTGATACAATGAACTTGCCCAAAAAAGCATTTTCTTTTTTTCCTCTGGTCAATTGGAATTGCCCACAAATTTCTGACCGCAGTGCCTCGTGTATAAACCCTCACAAAATATTTCCATTCTCTTAGAGAGGTAATCTAGTCTTTTCACATAAGCTTGCCCCTCTTCATGTTCCTGGCTGACGTTTCTCAGACCCTATCTACTCTCTGTATATATATTTCGATGGTTTATTTTGTTTTGGTGTTGTACATAAAGAACACTATCTACTTAAATTTTTCTTTTGAACATCTGTCTGGAGCTGTAGTCGAAGGCAATATTTGCCACTAAATCGCGGTATTACCAGCTTTGCGCTTGAGTCTAATTATTTTAATTTGCGTCTGCTGTAAGTTTCAAGGCCAAGGATTGCATAGTTGCTTGAGTCGGTCAGGATTATTGCATTTGGTTTACTTTGCAATTGCGTCGTGTGTTTCATCTCACGCAAGCAGGGATTCGGGAATATTTCTGAGTGGTTTCGGATAGTGCTTATATTGTTGGTGTCTATATATTTTGAGGTTGTTGCAAATAAGTCAATTTTGGCAGTGGATGGCTCGCTTCATATACCGCTGCTGGTGAATCAGTTACTCTCTTAACCGCTACTCTAAAACGACGGTGGCGGAAGCCCTTTACAGCCCGATTAATGAACATTCCTTATTTACCAAAATGTAATATGCTAGACATGCGATTTTTTGTAAACCACAGTGAGTTGCTGAATTGCTGTGTTCTCTCTTTTAGTAATTCCTTGTTATGTTTCAGTCAACTATTTATTGCTCATTGCGACTTATAGTTACCCTAAAAGCAACCTAGCAGATAGCTTACCAAAGTGCAGTTCTTGGTACTGTGGGGGAATTAATGTACATCTCGGCACCGTTTAGGCGTCGCTCATAACCAGTTTTAACAAAACCAGGTTTGGGTTTTCATCATGCTTCCTTAAGTCGTATCATCGTTTACAACATTATTTATGGAACGGCTCAGCCCAATCCGACGAAAATGTCATGTTGCCTGTGTTAACATGTTTTAGAACTCCAGTTCAATTTTGAGACCGTCAGTTGTGAAATAAATATTTTAGAGAGTTTTACTTCCTGTTGTGTTTTTAATTACAGTGTGGTAATTCAGAAACCTCGGACTAGGTGAACAGAAATGCGCAGTACAGGTGTTTCTAGAGTCCCAACTGCTTCTAAGCTCGAAACAAGCTAAATGCATTAAAAGTATGTATTATGTAGACCCGTGACAAGTCCCCGGTACTGTTGTACTTAAAGTAAGGATTGAGATCTAGGCATCTAATCCAAACCTATGTTTGCTGAAGCGCGAAGTTCGGGCTAACCTTATACGGTCCACACACAACCTCACTCAAGTGACATGAAATTAACTAATTCAAATCCAACCTTACTTCTCAGCGCTATTTTAATTTTGGGCTCGTTAACACTACGAATACTCAAATGAATGGACTCATCAGTTGCTTCTTCTTACCTCGGGAAAAGCACGCTACGGAACACGTGACCCTTGACATCTGTGCACGTCTCGTGCTTACTGACAGACAGTTCCCCGGCAAAGTTTTTCTTAGTCGGTTAAAAGTGCATTATAAGCAGAGAAGGGCAAGCATGACGCGCGTTTGTCCCTCTGAGGAATTAGGAAGTCTAAATGAAAGCAGTTCTTTTCAAAACTACACCTAACCTTAATGTGACCAATAAAATCGGCTAATACTTCGACATTTGCGAACACTCTGTTCGCGGGGGCTTCGACCAGGAGGTCGGAAGTTTCATTTACGCAGCAACGCCCAACTCAAGCGCTTTTATTAAGCGTTTGCCATGAAGACGGGTTGGTGGTTAAACAAGCCGTTTCAAAGTGGGTGATCATAATCGCTGGTCCGAGTTTGACAAACACACACTTCGCCAGAACATTTTGTTGAATGAGCTTCACACACTGTGGATGGAGCCTGCTTTACTTCCAGTTACAATTACACGTATGCGCACTGTGTCAATTGAATAGGAACAATGTGTAGGGAAAGTTCTGCAATTACGACTGTCGGCTTCTTCAACACAAGGGCAGTTGGTTAATGCGCCACTCTACGGGTGTTTACTTATGCCTCACATGCAGAATTATGCACATGCGAGTTCGTTTATTACTTTTGTGTACGGCGAAATTGTGAGGGGCTGTCAGCGATCGCGCTTGAATGAAGCCTGTTTACTGACCTGACGGTGTCAATGACTCATTCCTTCTTCATTGGTTACCGCTACCAGACGCCTGTCATGCGCTCATCTGCTAATGAACGATCGTGTTCGCTGTCGCTGTCTTGCTGCGCTTCTCGGGCACTTAAGGTCTGCTAGCTGGGGGGTTGCAAGGTAGTACTAGCAAAACATCACAGAATACATTACAGCATCGGGTGAAGGGTTACGGCAGCCGAGTGGCTTCATCCAGGTGACTGCATCAGGTAGCATTAAGACCAGATGTGAGCTTGTCATTTTTCAGCAGTGGATGAAGACCCTGCTCGATGCCCTCAAATGGCGCATAAAGGTGTATTGTGGAAGATTGTGTAGCAGGATCCCAAATAAGTGATAACTTGGTGAGCAGTTGTTTGCGCATAACGAATGGAACTGGTGCAGGAAATGGATCGTTGATCACACACAAACACCCCCATTGAAAGCATGCAAGCACAATTCACCACTCTCATCCATTGTCCAGTTAGCTATTTGTGAACCAAGGAAACCGTAATCTTCCCATGAAACCGACTCCTAAGGCTGACTTCCAACGAAAGTGGTGTGACTACGACTCGATTGGTCTAATGCACCATTATTTTGTGGAAAGACTTTCCAATTC